TAGGCATTTGTGAAAACGTATCAATGATATGATGGATATTGTCTAACTGAATTTGAATAGTTTGAGAAAAATCAGACAAATTAAAACAACACATTCCTGGGAACTGTTCACATCCCTACTCATTTCTTTATAGTACCATTTATTCAACTTACAGCCTTCTCTGTGGATACAAACTAGCATACATTAAGAAAACAATTAGCAGAACTCCTGTCTTCTTCACACAACTTTTATTCCTTGATCCAGTTTGTTTATAAGTTCAGTGCACAGCAAATTGCTTTCTGAACACAAATTTGTTTTTTGGTGTTTTTTACCAGATGTCAACGTGGATTTTACATTGTTTTATGCAAAATGCCTATCCCTTCTAGGTAAGAGCTTTGTCATTAACTTGTTTTTCAAGCCTTCTGATTTTGTGCTGGTGGTACTTTATATCCTGTGGTCAATCTTTTAAAAAAAAGTTTTAAATATCTGATTTAAATTTTCAGTTTATTTTATATTAAAAAAATTAAAACTCACGAACAATTTAAAAAAATCTAAGTTATCTTAAAAATTCACAAATTTCAATTAGCTGACTGCTAACAGTATGAAAATATACTAGGTATGCTAAATTTGAGTGAACAACACAAGTACACATTAGGCATCTAATATGCACCTGGTCAACTTGAATATATAAAGGAGTAAACATCATTAGTATATTAATATTTCTTACCTCTATAATAAGAAGAAGTATCTTGTTCTACGAGCAGCTGCCATACTTTCAGACATATTTCTGACTTTTAAATAATTAACAAATCCTCTGAAGAAAAGAAGCAGGCCTGAGAAGGTTGAAATAATAAATATATTATGTTCTTATAACAGATAATTATAAACAAGACACTCAAGGATTAAGGAATTTAATCTGTAGTATTACATTCATTCTATACTCTATTTTACACTATAATGATAATTCCATCATGAGAAATTATAATAAAATTTTACTGACACTCAAAAATTATTTCAATGTTTTAAGCCTAGGTATATCTAATTAAGGTAAAAATAAAAGCAACTGCAGCCACAAAAATCCAGAACTACATAACAACATATATTTATGAAGCGATTTCTTTAAACAGCAAAGTTATCTAATGCATTTAAGCTGATTCAACTCATAAAAAAAACATTTTATATCAAACTTTTTAATTAATAAACTACCAAGGAAATTAAGACATACTGATATTCAAAAGAGAATATTTACATGTAATTGCTAACACCTGTGAGATAAAACCAATAAGCCTGTTTAGTAATACCAACTGCCCGTCACTTATGAAATCTCTATTGAAGACATGTGCATTAAGTAAATAATCTAAATTATTAGTTCCGATTTTCAAGTAATAATAAAAGACTAATTTATAATAAAAATTGAGATAAGAAGAATCAGGAAAGAAGACTTGGGAAGCAGCCACTCTAGTGATTTATTAAATGATCTGGGATACATCTTTCATCTATCTCTGTTCTCTGTAAAACAGTTTTTTTAAATAACAATCATTTACATTACAAATATCTTTAATCATTAATAAAACAATGCCTGTGAAATGCTTCAAAGTTTCAGATGAAAAATATTAACTAAATATAAAAAGCAGTACCTTTACTAGTAAAGTCTTTGATACACTTAAGCATATAATTCTTAGGGAAACAGCTATTAAACTCCAGTACATTTTAACCAGGTACTAGTTGGGGGCAAAAAACAAAAACACCAGGTATGTATGCATGCAACTTCCCTCACCAGGAGGAAAACCCTGGCAATTTAAAATACAAAGTTCCAAAATAAATTTGTTCCCCTCCCCCAAGACAGTAATTGAAGCATCCGGAAAAAGCAGCATAGTTGTAATAAATAAGACAGGAAAGATAGAAGATACACAAATAATGACTTTAAAAACTGGTAGAAATTTCAGCGAAATCTGATCCCATCTGCTTCGCACATCCTCACTTCTTCCATTTGTGATTCCCATTCTGAATTCCACCCTCATGCCCTTCCAGATGCTGTTTAAAGAAACGGTATTGTGATCCAAATGTAGAAGTCGCTACTGAAAATGTAAACTAAAACTTGTAAAATACCTTCTTTTGTCTACCAAGCTGCTGTTTCTAAGACACATTTTGTTCTGCTCAGAAATTTACTAAAATTAGCCAGTTCATATCAACAAACCAATTACCAGCAGCTATTGTTTCTCAGTGCTCTATAATGTGCTCAACATTCTCTGAGTATATATGAGAGCAACCTTTCTATCACAGGTTAACTTTGCACATTCTCCCAAATGCTAGATTATGGCGCTGATGTGGTACTGGGGGTTGTCCTCTGCATTCCACTCTGCCCCACAGTTGTTTTCCTAAGATTTCTCAAACCCTTAATATTTAGAAACAAATAGACGTATTTAATATGCTTAAATGCTCATAAATTTTACACATTTTTTTCAGTTTTAAGTCAGAAACTCAGTAACAAGCACAGAATTCAGGCAGTCAAAACACAATGAACAATATAAAAAAACTACCTAAACCTTTGTGTGAGTCTGACCCCCTCACACAGTCATAACTATATAACTTCACTACAATTATTAGAGAAAGAATCCAAGATCTTTAGTGATCCTAACTGACCACAATGGATTTGCTTCCCAAAAGATCCTAAAGATCTAACAGAAACTTAAGGAGAACACTGCCACCTGCTGAAATGCTATTATTTTCTTGTACAATTATGGTACTAGAGAAATGTGAGCCTTTAAACCTAAGTAGAAACGAAATCTATTTTTCATGTCAGTAAATAAATTTGAAATGTGGATTATAGATAATGTGATTTTAAGATTAACTGAACTCTCATACATCTGAGCAAAAAAACACAAGAGAACAAAAATCAGAAATCCATAAAATTTATCAGTATTAATAAAAAGACATGCCTTATAAGAAAAAAACCCAACAGAAGTACTGTGATCATTAGGCATGAAGCCTTTCCTTATGTCTGGCTGATTAATGATTAATTCAGGGTATATATCATAAGTATAAAGAATGTTTCAATGATCCAAAAATAGGAAAATGGATAAGGCATACAATTATCTTCTCAAAATTATTTCAAGTTTTGTAATATTCAATTATTATTCAATCACTGACTTTTTAAGTTGACAAGCTCTGGATTTTAAATCAGATATCTAGAGTGCTTGTACAAAGAATTATCTGAATAGCTGAAATGATATAAATGTTGGATATGAGAATTTTACAGTAGAAAAATTATTCCCATGTAAGTTGCAACACAATGTATTTATATCTTACAATTTTAGGAAATATCAAAATTAAACTAAATGCAAATTAATTAAAACTGAAATGTACTAAGAATAAACTTACCAAGTACAAGAAATATCCACCAAAGCCAATATTGTCCATTGAAATATCCAGTAAAATAATCAGAAAACTATGGAGTGAACATAAATATATTAACCATATTCATGTACCTAAGTTTGAAAATCATAAACTAGCATCAGTTTCAGAGTGATTCACCTTAAATAATCTTTAGACTGAAAACAGCATAAAAAGAAAAATAAAAAAAATGACACATATATAATTGAGAAAATATTTTATACAATAGCAAACGAACTTATGTAGAATATTTTAAAAACAAAAGTCAGCTTCAAATTGCCTGTAACAAAGAAAAGTAACTGCTGTATATCTGAATCCCTCCGAGCCACAACTACCTTCCCAAACACATTATAGCAACTCACTCTTTACATATTAACACCAAAAGCCACATTAGTTTAATCTTATCAGATGGGGATGTTTGGCTGACTTCTAAAAAGAGTTTCTGACCTTCTGTACACCCCCTACTGTTAATCACTGCCAAAAATACTGGGCACATAAAGACCCCCAAGTCATTAGAGTCATTCTATTTTCAAACTAGATGCCCTAGTGTTTAGGACTCAACAGTGAACTGGGAACAACTAAGTCATTCTTGAAGTGGCATTTCAACAGCTCCTATTAGTGGCCATGATGGACAGTTTTATATTCTCTGCAAAATGGGAGTATGAACAGGCAGATGGAAGCAGGGTTTGATAACACTAGACACATGTATCTGGACATCATGATTTATTATTTTTTTAAGATTTTTAAGAAGCCAATCTAATTTTCTTCAGTTACTTCAGATAATTCTTCCCTATTACACTTTCGTACCTAAACAATGCTCTAAATGGTTTTTAAGTTTTTAATAAACCTACTCTAAAACTACTAAAAATTAACTTGTTTTATCTGTTTCCATTGATCTCCAAACTGAATCTGATTTGACTAAAAATTTTGTTAAGTGCAGATTTGTCCTCAAATCTGAAATTAATTTAAAGCTTTTATCTTCAAGTTTATAAGTAATTATTTCCAACTATTCACTGGCAATTTCCATAAAAGCTTAAATATCCCATAGCTTTCATAATAACAAAAATGCTTACAAATTGTAAATGATGTCACCACTGAGGAAGCATATCTACTAAAGATTATCTAAACCGTTTAAAGCCTTTTAAATATTTTCACAGGATTTACAATTAATAAATGAACAATGATCTAAATACACAGCTTAGAGTTTAAGAAATATCAAAGTACCATTACAGATGCAAAACCCATACTCCTAACACCTTCAAAATATGTACAATGAAGGAAGAACTAGAAAATTGGGAACATATAGCTTGTAAAATAGGACTGCACTACACTACTTTTTAATCAAGTAATTAATAATCAGAAGAAAAGACTTTCATACAGGTTTAGTGGCTATAACAAAAAAGAAATAAAGAACCAAAGCAATACACTGCTAACTTTCTAATTTTTAAATATATTTTATGATATAGTTAATACATATTACCTGGTAAGAGACCACCAGAAAATTAAGAACAAGTTATTAAGAACAACGTTGTTCTTCACCAAAAATATTCACCTAAAGATATTCTTTACTCCTGAATTGAAGTCAAAGAGAAAGACTCACTATGTAAAAAGGACAAACTAGTATGCTTTTGGGCCCACTACTGAGTTATCAAAAATGTTTTAAAAAACTAAAAATTATAGGGCTGAGCCAAGCTGTTGCTACTGTTTTAATAAGTAAATCAATCATGTGATTGGCCAATCAAAGGCCAGATTTTTGGAAAACAACAAGAATTTATCTGATTTTATTTTATTAAGATAACACCAGTATCATCCTATCTATTCTAAGACTTATTTTTTAATAAAACACATATGCATTTGTAAACAAGCAAAAAAGACATCAAAAGCCTTACATAAAAATAATATCAGAATCTTGGACTAAAGATATTTAACACTAAATTTGTGTTTCATAGTAACTCAGAAACAAAAAGAAAAGCAGCAATATATTTATAAATAACTTATCCTTAAATGAAAGGAATCACCAGGCTTTTAGGAGAAAAACCCTCCTCTCAGCACTGAATTCCAAGGGGAATTTACTGCTTGAAGCATTATAATAAAAGTCAAAGTATGGTATCACGCAGGCAGTACAGAATTAGGAAAGCAGGCACTGAATTGAGACCAAGCTAGATTCTAATCTACATACAAACTGTGGGACACTGAGCAAGTTATTAGACTCTTCCTATCTATAGTTACATCATCAATAAAATGGCTGGATTGCAACCAGCATGAGTGACACAGAGTGAAAGAATCTAGCGTTTCTAATGAATTATTCCTCGAACATAGTAAGTACTTAATGAATGGCAGCTATTACCACTTCATACGGAAGATGTTTTAAAATCTTTTTTTATACCAATTCTCAATACACATTAAAGGTATAATGTTAACCTGAACTCAGTAAAGGTATTTTAAAGGAAGGTATACAGTCCTGGTAATCAAACTTGATATTAGAATACACTCAACAAAACTTTGAGAAACTCCGGTCCTTAAAATCCCCATCTTATCACATTAACTGGAGTTGAAAACTAGATTATCTAACCCTTTCTCAACCTGGAGTTCAATGAAAGAATTAGCCCCTAATCCTCTAAAGGCATAGGTTGCATACAATGACTAAACTTCTTTTTCATGAATCTAAAATGATATTAGCAGTTTACCAACTTTAGGAACACTGAGAAAATAGTCTTCAAATCATTTTCTGTGTTCTATGACTTAGATGAGAAATCCCATTTTAATAATAGTAATTAATTCTATTACTAATATAACCAAGGTTGTACATATCTACCTCCAATTCTTTTGAGGTTTTCTCATAATAATTTCTGCAAAGGCAGGGATTGTCTCTATCTTTGCATGCTCCATGGCACCTAAATATTTATGCTAATGGTGGGAACCCACTTTAAATTTTTTGAAATGAAATTAGAGTAAGAATCTGCCAGGGGGCACTTCTTACAATGAATGGCTCAGATTTTGATTATCTTAGAAGCCAGTTCACAGTTCCAACCAAGAAACAACTGATTAATAATCAAAACCTATAAATTGATCTGAACTAACCTGTCTGATTAGATGACTAAAACCGTGAGAAGTAATAAAGTAAGTTTAAAAATCAATTTGATAATATAGGTTCATAATTAAAATGTCTGAAGCACTGATGACAAGCTAACATGTGTATATGATTGCACTGAATATTTTAGGAGGATTTTACTCATGCAATTAGAAAGCAATGTTTAAATATACAGAATTTGTAGAAATTACACATTTTATTAATTGTGTAATAGCATTTAAATATATGGGTAATTTTTAAGAAGACTTATTAAAATAATAAAGAAGCCACTCTTGATCATTCTCCTAGGCCCTACCATTAAAGAAACTAGGAAAATGGCTTTGTGAGAAGGGGCTAAGAGGGTCTTCTAGAGGCAAAGGTAAAGAAAGAGCTGGGGCAAGATCATGCTCACAAAACTGCTGTCTGTGAAGAGTTATAGAAAATTATTACTAGAAAAGTTGTTGATATGGGAGGAAGAAGAGGACTTAACTTTCCTTATGAATTATGAAATTATGAAATATATATTGTTTCATAAATGGTAAGAAGCAGGTTGAGGGTGATTTCTAGGAACAGGAAAATGAGAAGACCTAGAGGGAACATAAAGGAAAAAAGATGAGTTCTGACAGACACTTCAAAGGCCTGTACTTTACTTTTGAGCTCTTAATGTTGTAAAAAAGGTAAAAGAGTGAAAAGATAATTTAAGTTCATGATACTTTTACTCACCAATAGGAATTTTTATGTTTGCACTGATTTAAGGCTTGCCTGCAGTATATCACAAAGTGGTAACCATGATTTACTGAGCACACAGTTTTTGCAGCAACTGGGCAAGATACTTTATTATCTCCATACCTTACAGAAATCTTCAAAGGCAGCTATCATCAGCCCATTATGAAGAAATTAATGCTCAGAATAACCTAAAAACTTAAAAGTTAGAACACTGATATAAAAAAGCTGAGATTCTAACTTGAATTTTTCTGATTTTGAACCTCCATGTACTAACAAGCTCTCATATAAGGTTATAAAACATAAATATACAAAATACAAAATAAAATGTTCACACAAGAGATCACTCAAACAATTAAGTATATTTAGTTAAGAATAAGTCTAGAAATAAACAAACTCATATACATAAATAAACTTCTATGAACTACACAGGAAATTTCATATTATTTTAATTTTAGAGATAACAGTGAGAGAGGCTATAGACACTCACCCTGACAATAAGGATCCATTTGATCAATGAAAGGCCAAATCCACAGATAGCACCATACCTTCCAGCTATGGTATTGGTGATACAGAAGGATAAACAAAATCCAAGCCAGTTGAAAATAAATGCCACTAAAAGCAAGAGAAACAGTTCTCTTAAAGACCACACTTTGTAAACAAATTAACACAGACACAATATGACATACTTCACTGTTAATGGAAACAGCAATTCCTTTTTTCTTTCAACTCTGTAGAAATTTTGTTTTTGTAGGGTTAACCTTTGCAAATGTATTAGTTATTTACTATAAAAGGGGTATAAGCTTGATTTCCTGTCAGTTTGGCCAGCTTAAGCTTAGCACCCATATGTGAAACTGCACTTTTAAACCAGCTAAAAACCAGCTCAAATGTAGCTTTCATGTGACCCCCTATCCAGGAAGTCCAGCCTAAGCAGTCAGCCAACCAAATCGGCTTTTTAAAAAGTAGTATTAAAGATGAGCTGAATGAATCATAAAATATTCCTAGATACTGTTCAATGCCTCTTCTTCCTACCAAATAAAACCTGTTTTCCCCTCCTCAGGAAACCACCTACCTATACAGAGCCTTCATTTCAGGGAATGCTGGATCCTGTACTTAGCCCCAAAATGTGGGTCCTGAGTAGTATGGAAAAATTACAGGAGGCTGAAACTTTTTTTTTAATGGGACTTCTGAAAAACATCATTTGGTTTTAAAAACACAGCGAGGAGAGGGAAGATGGAATATAGGTTAAATAACAGTGGCCCTAAATTGACCACTGTTGAGTTACGTGATGGATAGAGGTTTATTATACTCTTGCCTAGTTTGAGAATTTCTATAATAAAGGTTTTTTAAAAAAGAAAAGAAATGGCCCTTCTTCTATCACTGGATGTTATGCTTAGACATAACACCTGGTACTTCTGCAGGGATCCTGCCAGAAGCCTGAGGATTAAACAGCACTCTAGGGAGAGAAGCAGAGCTACAGCACTGACAGTTTCTGCACCAGAGGGCTGCTTATCCAGGGTCTTCTTGTTTTGTGAGATAATCTCCTACTTAGAACAGTTGAGTAAGAGTTTTCCATTACTTGTAACAAAAATCATTCCAATACAGGTCCTTGAGAGCACCCTATCTGTGGTCAAGATACCAACACCACCAAAGTAATAACAGTAGTATTAAAACTAAGATCAAAGTATGCCTAGGTGTGGTCCTGTTTTCAGTGCCCATCCTCTTCAAGTATCTCCAACTACCTTTCAGAGACAGCAAAGCAAATCATCTAGAGAAATTCTGCTTTTTCTGAATTCTGAAGACAAAGAAGAAATATTTAGGATAAGTTTGAATAAAACACCTATTTCTTGTAAGCAACTCCCTGTTCCTCTAATTTCTTCCTTCTGAATGTTTTCTAGTCAAAGCTTTCTTGATCATTTATGGGAAGCTGTGTTTTGAGTCACAGTACACTCAACTCCCTTACATATGTGACCCTGGACTCACTGCTGACTTCTGTGAACCACAGTTCTCTGATCTGCAAGTACCTACCTCACAAAGTTGGTAAAAGGATTCAGTGAGATAATGAATGTAAAGAGCTTAGCACAGTATAGAACCTGGCACATGGTGATTGCTAAAGAAATGTCAGCCATCATTAGTACCCCAGCAAAATAATTCCTTCACCATACAGGGCGGTCCTATTTCTTCTGGGGAAAAAGAAAGAATCAGGAGACATTACTGGAGATAAAGCTTTCTTACTCTCCATTTTTTCTCTTTTTTAAACCTAGATACTCTACTTACTGATCAGTAGTATCCTTTACATCTACACTATGCAAAGCCACTGGCCACACTGCTTCTTCCTCCAGCTGCAGAACTCATCCTACTCTGCAATTTCAATATAAATGAATCAAAACTAAATGAAATTCAAACTTGAGTTCCTCAGTTGCAGTAGCCACATTTCAAGTGCTCAACAGTCACATGTGGGTTATAGCTACAATACTGGACAGAGAAGATATAAAGTATTTCCACATCATAGAATATTCTAATGGACATAATTGCTCTGTATCTAATTGGCTAATAATTGTGTTACCTGTGTGAAAAAACAGCTAAGAGCCAGGTCAGAATTAATTCCATTTCACAGAAGGGCAAATTGAGAGAACAATTAAGCTCCACATAGAGTCACAAGGCAAGTAAGAGTATGCTAGACTAGAGCATCCAAGTCTTGTGCCCCTATAACCAGTGACCTTTTTATTATGTATATATTTCCAACCTACCCAAACAGGTTAGTAGGACAACCTAGAAAGCAGAGCTATACACTACAGTTTATCCATTAACTAGAAAGTCTATACTTTAAAATTCTCAATAACCGCAAGATACTTTTAAGTTACAAAAGGGAAACCAGCAACTTTATAGTGAAGAGAATCTCGCAGACACCACCCGAACCTGATGAGAGTTGACATCACCAATAATAAGTATCCAGCTCACTGTCTCCTGATAAGATGCAATAAAAGGGCCCATCATTTCTGTGGTTATTCTTCCAAAAAGAAGGAAAGAAAATAGAGAAAAAATACATAACCTGAATCTGATCATGAGCAAACATTAGATAAACCTGAATTGGGAGACATTCTACAAAAATAACTGCCAATACTCTTCAAAAGAATCAAAGTCATAAAAAGCAGATAAAGACTAAGAAACTGTTCCAGACCAAGGCAGACTAAGGAAACACAGCCACTAAATACAAAGTGTAATCCTAGATTAGATCCTGGACCAGAAAAAGGGCAACAGTGGAACAAATGGCAAAGTATGAATTAGGTCTGTAAACTAGTCAGCAGCATTTCACAATGTTGATCATTGGACTGAAGTTACACAAAATGTTAATGCTTGGAAATGCTGGATCAAAGTTATATGGCAATTGTACTATTTTTGCAACTTTTTCCTAAATTTAAAATTACTTCAAAAATTAACAGAAGTTCTAAACACTAAAAAGTTTGACCCTTGCTTTGAAAATAAGTATCATAAATGAATGAATACACCTATAATATTAACTAACACTGAGCACTTACTAATTTTTTTGATCACAGAAAAATACACCAGATTTCAAAGACAAGTGCCCAAAGAGTAATTAAATTCACTGTAGTTATTTCTGAACTATGTAGGGTTAAATTTCTGTCTTATCTTCAGGCAATTCTTTCTTTAAATTATGAGCCATTAAGACATGAAGCCAACAATTGATTAGTTTTAAGACATTTTCACTAAATTATAAGAAATAAGGTGACAAAAAATTCTTCTTCTTGTAAACAAAACAAATTAAAAAAAATGCAATACTTCATAAAAACCATATGAGTTTCTTAAGCTATAGTTACAACTCTTAGAGGTTCCCTTTCTGGATTCACTTATAATATGTAACCCCATTTAAAAGTTATATAACAACACAGCTTTACATGGACAAAACAAGTCAGTATGTATTGTTTCTCAGTATGCGTGGTGCCCAGACAACCCCTTTAAGATCTGTAACTTTTATGACCTGTCCCTGGTACTCAAAAGAATTTACTGACTAAAGATGCTCAACATCATTAATCACTGGGGAAATGAAAATTAAGCCATGAGATATCAATACCAAATGCTGATGAGTATCAAAGCAATAGGGACTCTAATTTACTGCTAGTGGGAATGCAAAATGGTACAGCCACTTTTACATTAAAGTTTGACAATTTTAAGTTAAAAATAATGTAATATTTCTTTATGTTTCTCTCAAGTCTAAAATAGGAATAGTGCAGGTGATTATTCCTATAGCACACTGATATGAAGATTCACACATGGTACAAAAGGCTAAACCTTAGAAGAAAAATTTTCTAAACAGCGCATTACATTTTTAAACACTAAGTCCAATTTCTATTTCCACAGAAATGTCAATTATCCAATGAACCAAATCTTAATTTCTAGCTTTTAACTGACAAATAACTGACTTCTACTTCACTCTCTTACACAGAAAATATGTTAAAAAAATCAGATCAGATACAAACAAGTTAGGGATATATGAGACATTTTGAGATGACATCAAGGTTTTATGAGAAGCAAAAATGTCAGGAGATACATATGTTTCTTTTACATTTTCTGAACACGAACACGTAATTACTTTGCCAAATTAAGGTGTAAGCTTGCTTTAGCAGTACATATGGTAAGAGATTGAAATGTAGATGTTGAAAACAGAGAAGGCAAGATTAAACCAACAAAGGCTTTTAAATGAAATATTCTTATCCATGTTCACCGTAGGTTTATCTGTACAACATACATAACCTGAAAAGCTTACATTATAACTTACATTAAAGAAAATCTATTTCTGGACTTTAGGAATGGACAATAAAATAGAATCTAGACAATAGCTACAAAATAGTTAAAGGTACATGGAAAATAGAGTAAGTTGCAATTTATAGAACAGCCACTAGATGGTAGTGATTACAAAAAAATCTGTGCTTATTAAAGCAAATAAGCTTAAGCACTGGCCTACAGCATACCAGAAAAAAAATTATCAAAAAATGAAGGTGAGAAATAATTTACCATTTTAATCTTATATAATACTGGTACAATAGCTGTAGAATAGGAAGCATAAAAATATAAGTTTTAGATAATTATTAAAAATGCAGTTAAGGCCAGATAATCTATGTAAAATATGAATGTTTATATTAATAAACAATCATTAACCAAACAGGTAAACCAAGTGTCTAGGTTATTATGCATTTATAACACTGTTATATCAGCAAAATGTTTTCAAATCTAAAAAATAAATATCAAGAAGAGTATAGTAGGGTTAAGTGAAATACAGAAATGAGAAATGACTAAGCTGTGAGATAATTAGATGGTATCAAATAACATGTTTTAATCCTAAGAAACTGGTATTTACAAATAGTGCAATAAATTTAAATTATTTCTTTTCCAATTAAGATTTTTAAAAAAGATATAACCATGAAAAGAATTAATATTTATGCTTTTTTTAAAAATTGAAGTATCATTGATAAACAATCTTATGTTGGTTTCAAATGTACAACAAAGTGGTTCAACACCTACCCATGTTACTAAATCCTCACCCCCTCTAGGGTGTTTACTATCTATCAACTTGGAAAGATGTTACAGAATCATTGACTCTACTCTCCATGCTGTACTACCATTCCTGTGACCAATTTATACTGTGATTGAGTATTGTGCCCCTTTTTCCCCCCTCCCCTCCCCACCACCTGCGTAAACAAACCCTCGCCCCTGGAAACCATTAGTCACTTCTCAGGGTCTATGAGTCTATTTTATACTATTCTTTCTGTAAACAAAGTATGTGGAAAGCCTGCTATCAATATACAGGATTACCAGCTGAACTAAGAAAAAAATAAAAAAAGTTCATCAGACTAATGGTATAACACAGTAGTTATTTATAGCCAAATTGTTGATTTCTGTTTCACCGTATCTAACTACAAACTTAAAACCGTAAGATTTAAATATTGCATATATATTAGCTGGTTGCCAACCTGAATATAACTTAGTATTTGAAGAGAAAAATTTAAGTGTCTGCCCACCTACCCACCCATTTCTGAGTGGTTATCTACTTCTGTTCTTCAGCAGATGAAATGAAAGAAAAGAAGAAACCGTTTCAAAATGTAGGAGAAGGTAATAAGCGAATATAGAAGTAACTCACAGAGTATGTATTTCCTATATACTCTGTTTTTAAAGGTGAATGTGGTACTTTAAATAAGTAAACTATTTCTCAGGTTTATTATCAAAATAAACCTTACAGTTAAAATGAATTAAATCAACATTCTATCAAACAAGCTTGATCATTTAATCAGGATGCAAGCAAAAACTCATAGTATCATAGTCTAATTAATTTACTTACATGAATATTGGGTTTCTAAAAAAGATTTTAGCAATTTAAATAGTTTGTATTGAAAAATATTATTTACATGAATCTATTATATGTCAATCACTGTGTTAGGAAGCCACATAATGAAGACATAACACAGTCTTCCCTCAAGTAGCATAAGTCTACTTTATTAGTCAAATATTAAATTACGAATTTTGCAAGATATTAAAGATATTACTTAGGTTTCTGGTCTTCTAATTACTTGCCATTCCCCTGAAAATACTTTAGTATCTCAAAGCACATTGTTCCAGTTGCCCAGAATATCTTTCTCCAACCCTTCCTCTAATGATTAAAGACACTCAAATGGAAGTCCTTTGCCCGAAAAGCAGAATTTAGTTTCATTCTCCATGTTCTGTAAGCAGTGAGTAAACATAGAGCATTTCTCATACAAAAAGACATTTAGCTTAAATATGCTTATATATCTCTATACTGTCAGCATTTAGCATAAGAACTACAATACATAATTATTTGATAAGTATTTAATCAAATTCTAGGATTTGTATTTGTTAACATATAATTACACTTAATTCAGTATCAGGAACAAGTCACAATTTAAACAAGTATACAATATTTGCCTTTCCTAACTGTCTCTATTAAATAGACACACAGCCAATAAATGCAAAAAAAATAGTTCAGAAATGAAAGATCACTTACTGAAAAATGCCAGCATGAAAATGCCATCATTACCCACTCTGAGCTGGTCTGCATCACTGAAGTCATCTCTTGGTGGACACTCTTCTTCCTGAATCTGTAAAGCATATAACAGAACAGCTCACTAAACCAATACAGCTTTATTAGCTTACGTGTAAAGATAAGAATTTAAGTAAAATCTAATATCCTCAATTTCTACAGATAAAATGAGATAGTCTGACAGATAGAAAGTACTCAAAAACTATTATCAAGTGTTAATTTTTCATGGGCCTCCTTGAAAAGACTAGCTTTAAAAGTAAATACAAAAAGATAAAATTGAGCAACATCAAATTAATGAAAATGCAATCAAGAAAGAAAGATATGACTGACACTGATGCATTAGTGTCAAATGGGAGAGAGTAATTTTCATAATCAGGGGTGGAATCTAAATTGGTACAACCTCTAATGGTTGGCAATTTAGTAATATATATCAAAATAAATATGTATGTACCCTTTGACATAGCAATTCCATTTCTTTAAATATACTATACAGTATATACATATATTCCCACTTATAAGAAATGATGTATTTAAAGATAATTCACTGCAGCAATGTTAAAAAAAGCAAGATAGTAGAGACCATCTAAATGTCCATCAACAGATAATTCTCTGTGAGTCTTTCATGTTTCTTACATGTCTTAAGGTGAGGACACTGGCTACCTTTTCTCTGTACTGTTTTTAAGGATATTTATACAGCAGATAGCTTTGGAAGAGAGGGACAGTATCTGTCTCCAGAGCACAGATGTGAGCATACTTACTGACCATTAGGAAATACTGGGTTCCCTAAACTCAGGGTTCCACACTGCATGTGGAGGCATCACTAGGACCTCTATGAGTATGCCCAGTGGAAACTAAGGCTCAAGAAACTAGCATGAGAAAATGCTAATGTTTTAGCTACTACCGCTGCTGTAAAAATCAAGTTTTTGTCTCTGACCCAGCAGTCTCATGTCTTCTGACAACATCCATAAAATTGTGAGAAGCTAACCAGTTAGCTTTCAAGTAGGGTATAAGCTCAAACCAGACTGTTCACGTTCTTGACAGATCAATGAAATAAATTATTGCAAGTCTATATAATTAATTCAAAAAGCAATGTAAAAATTTAAAAATACATAAAAAAGAAAAATTTTTTAATACTCTGACAATTTCCAAAATAGATTAAGTGAAAAATTCTGTAATACGATTCTGTGTACAAACAAAATACTAACATATTAACATGTTTGCTTGTTACTGTAGAGAACTTCTCTGAAAACTTATCACTGATTGCCTCCAAATTCAACAACTATCAACAGAATACCATCTCTATATAAGAATTTTCTTCCTACTTGAGATATATGAATTACATACAACAAAGTTGCTTCCCTTTCTTTCCCTATATTTCACTGACAAGAATAAATAACAAATAAAAACATGTTATTTATGCAATTATTAAAATGTGTAAATGCACTGCAAAAAAAAGTTAGGAAAGAGTGTTTAATAAGGGTTACAGTTTTAAATATGATGGCCAAACAGGCTTCACTGAAATGACACCTAAAGGAGAGAGGTTAAGAAACTTAGCTGTGCAGTCATCTCACAGAGAAGTGTTGCAGGCAGAAGGATAAGCCGGCTCCAAGGTCCTAAAATAGACTCACACCTGGTATTTGGAGCAGGAGGAAGGAGGCTAGCATGGTTTGGTTGAAGTCATTGACAGAGAAAGTAAGAAGAAACGGGTCTGAGTCCACTGAAAGACCTTGGATTTTACTAAGTGAATTGAATTTCAAGCTAATTCAAGAAATAAACATTAAAGCACAGTATAAGACCCCCAAAACATTCTCAATATAGTGGCAAGAATATAAATATTTCATAATTTTTTGAAACACTAGTCCAGAGATTTTTTTGTCATGGGACGTAATTTTTAAAAAGATAGAAGACATATGCACAAAGAATTCCTTTACATTAACACTGGAAAACACACACACACATACACACACACACACAAACACACATTTGAAAATAATCTAACTGTTCACTAGAAAGGAATGATCACTAAATTATAGTATATTGATTTCATGGAATTTCGCTCAACCATTAAAGTTAACAGAAAAATATTATATATAATGCTTAAAAAATACAAATATGCAATAATTCAACTACATTAAATACTGACTTATAAATCAATAAGTAGGAAAAAATGGTAAACACTTTATAAATCAATTGGTAAATAAAATTGGTAAAAGACAAATTTTAATATGAATTATTTTAGAATATAAGAGAACAGATGGATTAAAGATGGTGGCATGAGAGGTGAGAAAGGCTTCCTCCTAAAACCACATATAATACTAAAATATAATTAAAACAACTAATCCTGAGAGAGCAACAGGAAAAAAGATTGCGCCAGACTGCATACACCTGGAGAAAAGAGCAGACCTCACGGAACAGGATAACGTACTAAAGCTGTGGCCCAGCGGGACCCAAGCCCCCCCCACCCCAGCTCACCGGTGGGAGGAAGAGAAACAGCTGGGAGGGAGTGGAAGGCCTGGGACTGCTGAATACCTAGCTCCAGAGATCTACTCTGGGAGCACAAACCTACATTTCATGGTGCTTTCATGATTACAGGGTTGGAAAGCTGGGACAGGCAGAATTCCTGGAGAGACTGAGATGCAAGTTGCTTGTGGAAAGCAGGGATCCATATCTGGCTGCTCTGGAACAAAAGCTTATACCTGTGTGCTCAGACCCACTGGTTTAGGCAGTGGAGACAGGCATAGCAACGGGGAAGCAGGAAACAGCTCTTTCCACCCCCCAGGCACCAATCCCACTCCCCTGCGACCCCCAAGATTGCTTCAGGGGCTGAACAGCTCCAGAGAGTAGAGCTTCTGGATACACAAATATGAAATGCCACAGGAACGTGGTCCAAAGTAAAATTAATATAACTCCAGAGAAAGATTTAAATGACATGGACCTCGTGACTCTTCCTGAAAGGAAGTTCAAAACAAAAATCATCAACATGCTAATGGAGGTAGGGAAAGATATCCAAGAACTCAGGAATGAATTCAGGTCGGAGATCCAATCGTTGAAGAGCACAATGGAGGGTATTAAAAGCAGATTGGATACAGCAGAGTAGACGATAAATGAAATAGAAACTAGAAAAGAGGAATACAAAGAAGCTGATGCACAGAGAGAAAAGAGGGTCTCTAAGAATGAAAGAATATTGAGAGAACTGTGTGACCAATGCAAATGGAACAATATTCGCATTATAGGGATACCAGAAGAAGAGAGAGAGAAAGGGATAGAAAGTGTCTTTGAGGAGGTAATTGCTGAAAATTTTCCCAGTCTGGGGAAGGAGACAATCTCTCAGGCCATGGAGATCCACATATCTCCCAACACAAGGGACCCAAGGAAGACAAAACCAAGACATATAGTAATTAAATTAGCAAAGATCAAGGATAAGGACAGACTATTAATTAAAAGCAGCCAGAGAGAGAAATATGATCACATACAAAGGAAAGCCCATCAGGCTAACATCAGACTTCTCAGCAGAAACCTTACAGGCCAGAAGGGAGTGGCATGATGTATTTAATGCAATGAAGCAGAAGGGCCTGGAACTAAGATTACTTTATGGAGAAAGATTATCATTTAAATTTGAAGGAGGGATTAAACAATTTCCAGATAAGCAAAAGCTGAGAGAATTTACCTCCCACAAACCATCTCTACAATCTATTTTGGAGGGACTGCTATAGATGGAAGTGTTCCTAAGGTTGAATAGCT